GTAATATAAAAACATTTCAAAGATACGTAGTGAAATAAAAAAAGTTAAAGGTTTCGTCACTCATGGACTTTTTTCTTCCTTTTTTGGACTCCTCAGCACGAGTGGTGTGGGAATGTTTTTGAACTGTCTACTGATTCAGTAAAATGACTCGATGTTACAATCCCTAATAATGCATTGCTTTAAATGGAGAAAATCTTGAAGGATGGCTGTTATGAGGAAAGGCAGCCCAGAAACTTTACCAGTGGCACACATCGTTGTGTGCCTAAACTTTCGGTCTTTCACCCAAGCTAATCTGCTAAGCTAAGACTTTCTATTTGTGTGTTTTCTGGTATATTTGTTCATTCATGAGGTGTAAGAACTGTCAAAGACAAAAATAGTGCATGCTGATGGGAATACTCAAGCGTTTACTATGTTTTGTACAACTTTTATTGGTTTCCACCTTTACATACATATCAAATGTTTCTGTGTGTTTGACCTCACCCTTTGTCCAGTAAATGAAGTGTTTGGTTTTAGTCACATTACCGACAACTTTCTGAAACACGTCCGTCATTCCCATGTTCATTTTTAGCTGCGTTCATCTCAGCTAATTTGGTTTGACAGGAGACTTTTGAGGATCTCTGAGTTTGTTTTTGAATAATAATCTATTGCTCACATTTGGATAATATTCTGTGTTTGATGCGTCAAATCGCAGTTCAGCTGCCACTTCAGGCTCATAGTTGTGTAAGTCTGTGTGCATGCTTGTGTGTGCTGTCTGGATGATGCCCAGCCTTGCTTCATGCCAGGGGATAAAAAGCTGCAGCCTCTATGGGAGATTTTGATTGAGTGATGGACATTGGGAGCTGTTTAAAAACTGTTGATCCTATTAAAGAGCAAAATAAGAGAAATGACACGTAGTCGTAAAATACTTGAATTGGATATTTTACTCTGAGGTAAATCTATATTCAAAGTGATATGAATAAAACTTTACACAAGTGTTAAAATTTAAAGTGTTTTATTTGTGCTGACTCAGTAAAAGCAACAAATTAATTGTTAATGGTAGTTTTTCTGTGTTGTTGATGCAAGAACTTTACTCGTGTAACTGCAGTAACGAGGCTGTGGAGTTTACATGAGTCAGTGATACTACTAAAATCAGATCAGACACAGACACAGTGCAGAACATGTTTGATTACAGGTGCTATTATGACTTAAAATATAGAAGATGGTTATTGATTTGTCATGTGCCGTTTGGCTCGATCACAATTTCCTCCTCAGGATTTACGCGCTGTTGATTCATGTGCCTCTCCTCTGTTTAAACACACACAAATATTAAGAGAGGGAGTGCTGGCTGGTTGGTTTAAGCAGCTTATCTTGACCTTCTGTTCATCTGTCTATCATAACCCTCGCTCTCCTCTGTGTATGAGCTTATAACACTTTCATCCATCTCTAACGAACGTGAAGAAAAATGCAAACATATTGTGTAAAATAAATGTTGCAAATGGTTTGGAATAATATCAGTTTTTGGCAGTGTTGTAAAATGACTGTCTTCTGAACTCTGCACATAGAGTTTACGCTACCATCCTATTTTATGTTAGGGTGGATTTTTGCTGGACTGGCTCCAGGCCCATTGCAACGCTGCACTGGATAAACAGTTAGGAAAATAGATGGATGGACTTACAGTGGGGCAAAAAAGTATTTAGTCAGCCACCGATTGTGCAAGTTCCCCCACCTAAAATGATGACAGAGGTCAGTAATTTGCACCAGAGGTACACTTCAACTGTGAGAGACAGAATGTGAAAAAAAAATCCATGAATCCACATGGTAGGATTTGTAAAGCATTTATTCGTAAATCAGGGTGGAAAATAAGTATTTGGTCATAACAAAAATACAACTCAATACTTTGTAACATAACCTTTGTTGGCAATAACAGAGGTCAAACGTTTACTATAGGTCTTTACCAGGTTTGCACACACAGTAGCTGGTATTTTGGCCCATTCCTCCATGCAGATCTTCTCGAGAGCAGTGATGTTTTGGGGCTGTCGCCGAGCAACACGGACTTTCAACTGCCGCCACAGATTTTCTATGGGGTTGAGGTCTGGAGACTGGCTAGGCCACTCCAGGACTTTCAAATGCTTCTTACGGAGCCACTCCTTTGTTGCCCGGGTGGTGTGTTTTGGATCATTGTCATTTTGGAAGACCCAGCCTCGTTTCATCTTCAAAGTTCTCACTGATGGAAGGAGGTTTTGGCTCAAAATCTCACGATACATGGCCCCATTCATTCTGTCCTTAACACGGATCAGTCGTCCTGTCCCCTTTGCAGAAAAACAGCCCCATAGCATGATGTTTCCACCCCCATGCTTCACAGTAGGTATGGTGTTCCTGGGATGCAACTCAGTATTCTTCTTCCTCCAAACACGACGAGTTGAGTTTATACCAAAAAGTTCTACTTTGGTTTCATCTGACCACATGACATTCTCCCAATCCTCTGCTGTATCATCCATGTGCTCTCTGGCAAACTTCAGACGGGCCTGGACATGCACTGGCTTCAGCAGCGGAACACGTCTGGCACTGCGGGATTTGATTCCCTGCCGTTGTAGTGTGTTACTGATGGTGACCTTTGTTACTTTGGTCCCAGCTCTCTGCAGGTCATTCACCAGGTCCCCCCGTGTGGTTCTGGGATCTTTGCTCACCGTTCTCATGATCATTTTGACCCCACGGGATGAGATCTTGCGTGGAGCCCCAGATCGAGGGAGATTATCAGTGGTCTTGTATGTCTTCCATTTTCTGATGATTGCTCCCACAGTTGATTTTTTCACACCAAGCTGCTTGCCTATTGTAGATTCACTCTTCCCAGTCTGGTGCAGGTCTACAATACTTTTCCTGGTGTCCTTCGAAAGCTCTTTGGTCTTGGCCATGGCGGAGTTTGGAGTCTGACTGTTTGAGGCTGTGGACAGGTGTCTTTTATACAGATGATGAGTTCAAACAGGTGCCATTCATACAGGTAACGAGTGGGGGACAGAAAAGCTTCTTACAGAAGACGTTACAGGTCTGTGAGAGCCAGAGATTTTCCTTGTTTGAGGTGACCAAATACTTATTTTCCACCCTAATTTACGAATAAATTCTTTACAAATCCTACCATGTGGATTCATGGATTTTAAGTGAGAAGTTTGCACAATTATTTCAGAAACATAAGTCATTCATACAATCTGCTAATGGTCATTATGGTCATTGTTCTTTTAGTTTTGGTTATTTTTGTAAAGCGCTATACAGATACAGGCCATTTACCATTTTTGTGAGTGCATAACCATGGCCTCAAATCATGAAATTTTGCACACATATCAGGTCTGGTGATATTCATGCATTTCATGGGTTTTGCACAAGGGGGTTGTAAAATATGCCTGAGAAACATACTTTGAATTGAAATTTGGTACACATGTACACATGTAACGTCCCACAATGTACAGAAACATCTCTGGGACCTCTGATTATTCAGCACAAAATTTGCAGTGATTCAGACATACATTGTCCAATCTGGTCCTGGTATAAACGATGTATGACGATATTTAATGAAATGACAGTTTTTACACTTTAATCCACTGATCCGAGCAGTTTGATCAAAGCCACCAACAACTTACCGCCTTATCTGATTTGCCACAAACTATCTATGTGCGACAGTTGCAGCAATCCTTTGATGTACTCCTCACAGGTTGATCACGTCCACCTTAAAAGTAATCTAAATAAAGTTCAGATCTTAATATGTTATGTGAAGGCTGTGTGCAGGCAGGAGTGGACCCAATTAATTGGGTTAATAGTTAGTTAATATTTTCTCTGAATGCGGGACGATTATGTTTGTACGGGACGGTTGGCAACTCTACTAACTAACCTTATGAATTAAATAAAGTTCACTATCAGTAAGATCATAGCACCTGCCCAGCTGTATAGAAACTCCGTCATGCTAGCTAGTACGCAGTACGAGTTATTGTAACTGACTGTAAGAAGTCAGCACAACGAAAATAAACTCCACCTAAACTTGGTTTATATCTGACCCAGATGGACTGCAGGTCATAACTTCTTACCTGAAGTTCAGTTCACCTGACACTCGGACCGGCGGCCGCCTCGGGTCTCTGCTCCTCCTGCCTCCCCTTTCCCTCATCCACCTGCTGGCCTCTGTGGAAGCGCCGCCATAGCCACCACCAAACAACTGAGTTATTTTTACACATCGGCCAGCATCTGGACAAACCTTCGATAGTTTAGACCTGTAAAAACGAAAAATCACCATCGGCCCGATGGCCAGTCCAGCTATGCTGACAATGCAAAACTGCGAAAAGTAAGGAGACAAACTAATTGACCTTTAGTCATAGTCGTGGTGCCACCTAGTGACAACAGGAAGTTATGTTTGCTGACAATATAAAGATTTACTGCATAACATTTTCATTGAGGGTTTCAGATGTGATATGAAGCAATATGACAAATAATAACTGGAAATTCTCCAGAGCCACCTAATGAGAACACAAAGTGATAAATAACTCATTTATTCCACAGTCAATTAAATTTCATTAAAGTGACTGCATGAGATGCCTCTACTGCAACACGATCCGCTGGCATTTCTCCTTAACCACAGCGTGCCTGAGCGTGACGTATACCAAGGTGCCAGAGTCCTCATTGCTCCTTGTAGTTTTATTTACAAGTGTCTTATCTTAAGCAGCAGCAGATCTGGATTGTGTATATGCAGGAGCTTGCTTGCACGTGCACAGTGGACATGAGGGGATTGTCTGCCATTAAAGCATTATTCTGTCAGATGGATGTAAAAAGAAAATGCAAATAAATTCCAAAAAGTTTCTTGGTAGCTGCTAATATAGTTGTTGCCACGTGTGTAAGAAAATGTGTTAAAGACAGTGTATAACAGTTTTCATCTTTGTTGATATGGACACCTGATTTCCTTCACACTCTCAGACTGTTTTAAGGTTGACATAGCCTAAATATTTAATCTACAATTTGTATTCTTTTTATTGCTTCCACTGCAGGTTGACGGCCGACATCCAACCTGTAACTTCCTGCTGGAGGTGGAGAGAGACCAGGCCGAGTGCATAAAGAAGCTGAGGGAGAAGCAGGCCAACAGCAGCTATAAAGGTCACAATCACTCAAAGCACAACTGTTAGAAACCAGATATCTTCTAACAGTAACTTGGAAAAACTTTGTGTAGCTGGACAGGATCTTTAAATCTGGCTTGTTTCAAGCATTAACGTGGCCGTTGTGGCTCCACGGCTCATGCTAACGTTGCCTTTCCCCCGACAACAGGTGTTTGAGGAAATACCAAAATTAGCTCCCTCGATCATCCATTATGCTGACTGCATTAAGGATCAACATCTGGTGCAACTGATCTAATTATCCTGCGTATTCATTCATGCACACCGGTTTGCTAACACCTGTGGCTGTGGAAAGCTTTCACTCTGCAGACCGAGTCTCTAAATACTAAAGGAAAGAAAATGAGATAATTCATGGGAAGCAGCACAAATTGTGTAGATGTTAATTAACAGTGTTTTCTGTTTTATAAGCCATGACATCCTGATAGGTTATGAACCTTCAGTGAAAGGCTGATAAACCCAAAGGTGAACTATGAGTGTCATGCTGCTGTAATAAAATCAGCTTATATAAGCTTAAAAGCTTATATAAATAAGCTTTATAAAGATTATGATCTATTTTAAGATGGTCAACATGAATGTAAGGTTTATCATAACTCACTTTGCATTAGTTTTGCACATTGCTATACTGCCCAGCCTTTAAGACTGTCATTAATTAAAAGGCAGGAGTTATACTGGATCATGTCTCCTGTGGGAAGAGGAAATGTCAGCAGACGGGATGAGAATGTGACAAGCATTGCATCTCGTTTTATAGACTTTTCTTTAACATTACAAATAAAATGTTATTTTTACAGGCTGTCCTCTGTATGTGAGTGATATCAAACAGCATCATAGCCAATGGAGTTAAGTTTCTGATGTGCTCTTTGTAATTTATACTTGGGACAAAGTTTCAGCATAGCAGACCCTCATCAAGAACATTCACTGTCACATCAAAGAGCCTTGTCTAAGTAAAGTCTTGGTGCACTGCATTTTCCTCCCTAAGTCTTTATAAATTTCTCCTTTCCTTTCTTTATGAAGGTTTTCAAAGTGAAGGAAACGTTATTAGGAAAAAGTGATGGGGGGAATCTTTTGGTCTATTTGACCTCTGGCACGATTTCCAAGATTGTTTTCTGGGACAATTATTTTTTGCCACGTTTGCCCTCTTGAATGGTGAGGACACAGAAACTGAAGTCACATCTGCTGGTGCAAACTGTGCTTTCATGTAGTGGCAGCTCTTATTTCTTTGATTCAGGTTTTGACTGGTATAGGAAACATCTTCTTCTATACAAGTGCTAATACTGAGGTTTTGCCTGTTGGTGACACTTCTTGCTGCAGCGAGTATTCGCAGCTTAATGATTGGTATAAATGTTAAAGAGCTGTGGCAACGTCACTGTTTGGAATTTATTTGTATTTTATATTTTTGATTTTTTGCCCAGGATTGATTAAATATCTTTAGTTGTGATAAATTCCTTCATTCTTATCATGAAACTAAAATTATTGCTAACCAGCTAATTTCCTGTCCTTCCTTTCCTTATTTGTAAGCTAATCGGGTTCCACTTGCAAAAGTTATTCATATCATTGATATCATTCAGCTACTTATATAGTGTGTCTCTTGTATTGTAGTTGAACAACTCCAGCTCCAATGCAGCGTTTAGTACAGCAGTTCTCCTGGCGGTCCTTAGAAGGAAATCCCTCAGGCATTTAGCTATCGGGTTATCAGTAATTTAGTGTTTGCTTTGAGTCAAACTTTCAAATGAACTTTTATAATTATTCATTTTCTTTTTATAAAGTTGAAGTTTTGCTTTTTGTTCCACTGAAATAGGCTCAGATAAAGAGAAAACATTTGCAAAAGTAAACCCTGCAGTCTGAAGGCTGATATGCAAAAGCATGAAGGACCCTGCATACAGTGTGTACATGTAATCACACCATGTGAGAACATGATTAGATCTCATAACGCAGTTTAAGCCCATATTTTGTCTTCTGTCCAGCCATGTTTTCTACACAACATGAAAAGCTTTCGTAAAGGTCACTTAGCTTTCACCGAGTGCACTGAAAATCTGTGCAATCTCTGCAGCTGGGAATGGATTCACACGAAATCATTCCTGAATTAAATCACGACAGATGTGTGATTGTTTCTGCCAAATTCAGGAAAAAAACGAATCACAAATTTAGCCTGTTATCCTGAAGTATAGACTGCTGCTCAAACTTTTGGGTTACTTTGTGATCTACAATAAAAATGACAAATAATCATTTATTTTTGTAAGGGCTGATTTTCTTCCAGTGGCACATTGTGCTACCTAAAATTTTACTTAAATAAATTAAGTTAGTTAAGTGTCTGCAGCCTCAGTGCCTGCGGGTTCAATTATAGTGTTGAAATGGCCGACTATCCATCTAAACTTGAATCAAACAAAACAAAAAAGAAAACAGAGACTTACCCCTCACAGGTCCTGATTGTAATGATTATTAACCTCACTGTTGAATAAAGTTTTGTTTAAGGGCAGTTTCCCATATGAAATATCTTTAATTTCTGTTTTGAGGAAAATTTTAACACAGTAATTGAATCCACAGAGGCTGATGCATGCAATGACCAGATTTAGCCCAGAGGATGATAACCATGGACGTCTGCTGCTCAGGGAGCTGCTGTGGTGGTTCAACAAAAGAGAAACACTTCTTTATTCTTGATCCTTACAGTTAAACACAGTAGTAAATCTTTTACTATAATAATATATTAACAAGTGCCACCATTAGCCTGTGGGCCACGCTTTGACACCCTGAAATTAGACTGAGATAGGTAAACGTGCAAAGAGTAGAACATAGAGAAGGTTTAAACGCTTGGGGAAAAACATCTGAAGCAACAGACAGTTCACAAGAGAGGTGAAGACGAGAGTGGAGCAGGGCGGAGACGAGTGTCAGGGGTGATTTGTGACAGCAACGAGGCATTTTCTTCAAAAACATTTTCTCCAAAAACACCCAAGCGCTCTTCTGAAACCCAGACTTGCTATTAATTCATTATCATTTGATTACATGAGTTTGTGTGTAAGTTTTTCTGCCAAGGATCCTGCAGGACGCTGTTGTTTATCATTTACAACACAAGCTTGACTTTTATTGATGTGACAAAATAATCTTACCTCAAGGTTTGGTCGGGTCTCTTGTCTGAAGATCGTAAGATATTGCTTCTGGTGGTCTTTAATAATAGTGCTGTCAAGAGGAGCAGGTTTGAAAAATGTTTGAACCGACTGAGAACAAGCCTCTGTTTTGGATATGTACACAACACTGACTGGTAGCTAAGAATTAAACTGCAAAACTTTTGTAATACCCCTTGATTTAAAGCTGAAAGTCTTCAGTTCTTTCACGCATTGATTTCCTTTGAAGTCCTCTGTGGTTGTGTACAAAGACTTCTGCCTTGATGACCTCACTTTGGACATGGCCAGGCTAACAGTTCTGTTCTCTTTTCATCAGTGCTGCATATAAAAGCAGCTCAGCAGTTTTCCCAAATGTTGACTTATGCTTTCAAAATAGCTGATTAGTCTCACCCAGACTTTATCTTCCTACGTGCCCATCTGCAAAAGAGGCTAATTACCACAGAAAATACACCGAATGTGGTCCTCTGATGAAGTTCACAGCTCAGAAAGTACAAAACAGAAAGGAGTCGGGAGAAAATTGAAGAGAAAAGCCTTTAAAGAGCTTTTGATTATATATATTTTTGTTGAACTAAACTAAGTGTAAAGTAAGCGTTTTTAATGATCCATAAAGAAAAATCCACCACTTTTACATAAAAATAATGAGAAATACTGGACTGAGAGTTGGTGATATAAAAATCTCTAACCTCTTCGCCCCTGAGCCACATGAAACATAGTGAGGGATAGTGAAAAAGTCGAATCATCCGTCATCCGGCCACCGCAGTCAAAAATGTAAACAGATGGAGACAGTTTATGTGTTTGAACCTCAGCTGGGACATACTTAATACAACATTGTAAATCTGGTGATGTATTTTAATGTTCTGAGTGAGTAGTTTCTATGCAAATTGTGTCAGATGTTATAATAATATACAGTACCATTAACGTCAGAACATTTGTAGCACATGTGTTTCAAATTTTGAAGTATATCAATATTAGTCCGACTCCTCCTTTAGTCTGCTTAGAGAGAGGAGGTCCATAAGCTGACCAAAAATTAAAATAAATAAATAAACAAATAAAAGAACTCAGCTGCAGGATAGTCCCCCTCCCCATCTTGATGAATTGAGACTGTGTGGACCACAGATTTGAATTCCTGGAAATCTGCAGAACAGACAGTCTCTCCTGGTCTGCAGGCGCAGCAACTCTTACACTTTCTCAGAATCCTGAAGAAAAGCTCTGGTGACCTTTAACCGCTCCACAGTAGGAAGTGTCTTAACATACTGCCTCACATTGTGGTGTGCTGTGGTATGCTGGATGCTCAGTGGTGACTAAAAAAAGGTCTACAGAAGGTCATCGATATGGACTAAAAAATAATTGGCTGTCCTCTTGCCTCTCTCCGAGACACTGGAAACAAAATTCTACTTCTCTAGATCCCAGAGTATTGTTCAGTCTGCTCCCACCTCTCCTGCCACATGTTTGAGTTACATGTCACTCCTCTCTATAATATTTTATTATATTTTATGCAATATGTCACTTCACATGCCAATACCATGATTCGTGCAATAGCCGTGGGCAGGGATACATGTGGTATAGCTACCTCTTTTATATTGTGTACAATTTATTTAAATGCAATTTATACAACATCATATTGCAACAGTGTAACTCTAATGCATGGAGCACGGGTGGCACTCTCATCCAGTCTCATTACATCCTGTATATAATGATGTTTTTTAAACAATAATAAACATCAACTCTGCATGTGTCATTTAAAATGGCAGGATCATTTTATTACATTTAAAAATGGTTTGATTCTGTAGCAACAGGTGAACATTTTTGTGAAGAACCTAAGCTAGGTTTATGCTGCTATTTTAAAAAAAAAAGAAAAAAAAAAGAA